CCCCCCCCCCCCTCCCACTAAATCCGCCCATGATTGGGATACTGCTAATCTTGAGCCCTGGCGCGCCCGTTAGAGCAAGGCTTGTCTATATATACTATATCAGAAAAGTTTCCTTTATAAATACTCAGGTACAGCCCTATTAAATACTGTTATACAAGCATCTATTTATTGCATGTGCAAGACAACTTAATTGATAAAATAATTCACTAGTAGTTACCTGATGCCGGGATTGTCTGATTATCGAGTCGATCACATACAACGCCGGAATTTTATATTCGGGACGACACTAAAACAAAAATTCGAATGTCATAGCCTTGGGAGTTCGTGTCAGCGGGGGTTCTAAGTACTGTATATTGAAAAGTGATCCCCAAGTCAACTTAGAAGTTGTATTACCTTTTGAATAAACTTTTCCAAACTCTGAACAACATGTTTGTAAAACTACAAATAACAAAACAAAGAAAATGTCAATAATATGTTGATCATGACTTTTCGATCAAGGTATTACAGGTAGGGATGAGCCGATAAATCGGCCGATATTTGGCATTCTCAAAATAATCGGTAATTGGCCGATTATTTTTTATAATCGGCTATTTGCAGATATTCGCAATTTTTTCGTTTTTTTAAGAAAAATAACTCTATAATCTAGTAATCTACACTCCGTCTTGTTTTTGACACTTTTGTTGTGCATATTTAATCCCATATCCATTAATTCATTTGATTCGTACAGTGACCGATAACTGTCCAATATGAGTAAATATTTTCCGGAACACACTAAAACTAGTACGTCAATTTGTGGCGTATACACAAGTATTAAAAGTTGTCAAAAAACCGTTATCCGGCGCTTGTACCCCGGTACACAGAAATATCATGTTCAAGAGGCAAATTGTTTGTTAGCAGATTACTGTACTGCGACTAATTTAAATTTAATTATACATAACAACAACATCCTCAGTAAGTCGCTTAACAGATCCAAATTGCATCTGAATAAGTTAGGATCTTCTACTTTAGCTAAAAACTTTATTAGTTATTCACATAATTTTTAGCCTAGGTAAAGTTCCAACTCTTTACAGCAAAATTTCCGACACCGAACCAAAAGAGCCAAGTTGCTCCATTGAGAAGATTATTCCACAAACAAAGTGTGAAAATGGCATTACATTTTTACAATCTTTGAAAGGATTTAAAGTTGGGCATTTAAACATCGTGACCAAAGCCCTTTCAAACCAATGTCCTGAAAACGTTTCAACTATGTTTAAAATCTCAAATTCTGATAAATATAATTTAAGAAGTAATAACAAGATGCTGATGTTGTCGAAGCCTAAAACAAATTCAATGAAAAGGACATTCGGATATGCTGCTGCTAAAGACTGGAACTATAATAGTAAAATTTTTAAATCTACTTAATTCATTTGTAATATATATATTTAACGTATCGCTTCGACCCAAACATTTCTTAGTATCTTTTAATATTTTTATAATAGTTTATATAATAGTATTTCGAGTTTTAATTTGTATTTAATAACACGGCCTAATGAAAAACAACCTTTATAATTTTTGTAAATACTGATAGGTAATATGGTTGATTAGTTACCGTGTATAAAGATGTTGTAATAATAATAATAATAATAATAATTAATCGGCCGATTATTTTTTTATATCGGCTCCGATATATCGGATTGGCGAATCGGCTTTTTTCTGGTATCGGCTCATCCCCAATTACGGTTAAACTATGCGAAGCGTTCCTCTTTTGACTTCCTAACTCATTTGGAATTTTCCTTATTAGCCTTGCAAATTTGAAAATCACTTCACAAACCCTTGAGGGAATTTGCAATGTTCCTATCGGCTGTTGCAATATTCCAATGCAATTCCCAACTTCCTGTTTTAATTTCCTGACTTCCTGCTCTGTTCTGAGCGTCGTCATTGGTGGATTATTTTTGTTAGCCAATAGCAACGCACAGAACAGAACAGGGGCCGGTTGTATAAAAACGTAATTAGCGCTAACTGTAGTTAGCGTTAATCACTGTAGTTAAATCCTCAACTGTAATTAGTTAACTACATGACTTAACTGCGTTGCACAAAACGTAGTTAGTCGGATAGTTAACTAATCACGTAGTTAACTGTGCGTGGGGCTTGCGTGGGGCGTTTAAACACAAAATTACATAAAGTAAGCAGCGAGTAACGACCGCTGACAGACATTTTCAACACGATTGTGGACTCGCATTTTGCAAATAGGCGGGAATTTTATTCAAAACACTAGAAAACAGTGAAAAATATACAAGAAAACAAGGAAAAACCGCCACAAAAATCATAAAAGAATGCAGTTTTTCCTTGAGATGTCTACGTTAAGCCAAGGTCTAGCTGTTTGGCAATTATATATCAGTGTTTCGTGGTGTAATGGACCATACTTCGTCTTCGAGAAATCGTCC